AAAAACCGAATTGCTAAACTAATCTAGGTTGTAGCGTAGAGCTAAAACTAAACTAAAGGGCTTGAAACTAAGATGAATCTGAGCATAAAGAGAAATTGTGCTGAGTTTGTTGTGTGAGATGTCGATCATTTGCTTGATCTTATCATTAGGTATTTATAGCACCTTGGCAGCATGGTGAAGATCTGCAGCAGCATCTTGAAAAACCAACGGCAGCATAATATCTACAACAAATTGATTAATTTGTTGGTGCTGCGATTATTCTCTTGAAAGCTCGCAACAAAAGAATGGTTTTGCTGCCGTTGTGGAAATAACCACTCAATCTCATCTGAAGAAATTCACACCAACTAATAAAATATCTGTCATCATGAGTGACATGTGGCAGCACTCCATTTGTTGTAAAATTAGGTGTAAACATTGCCCCCCAATTTTTGGCCTTATGGGAGTAAGTGTAAAAAATTTAGGACCTTAGTGACAGTACTCAACTTCTTTCTGCCCTTGTCCTCTTTTGTTAACTCTAAATTTCCTCAAGGGCTTCCTTCCTTTTCACCTTTTTCACTTTTTGCAATTTACGTTTCTTCTCCGTTCTGGAATCGGAAACGGACGGACTCCAATTACGCGACGCCACTGCAATTCTTCAACACTTAGGATTCGGAAACCTTGCCGACTCCACCGCATTATAAAACATGATCACCATCGTGAATTTGCAGCAGCTTCTCCCTTTTTCCTTTTAATAATTTTTTTTTCTGGTTCTCGGCGCCGTCCCTGTCAAACCATTCCAGCCATGGCCAACCAATTTCCAGCCAGTGAACTGCAGCAAGGAGGAAGCCTCAAATCAAATCAGCCACTTTGGCATCAATTCGGCAATATCCAAAAACAAATTGCCGAAATTATTAATGAAGAACCTTCATGCCGCAACAACCGGATCCACATCGTCTTCAACGATTCCATCAATTTGGGTCCAGTTTTGAAGGAGACAGCCGCTGCACTCCTACGCCTCCATTACCCTCAGCCGAGCAAGCATCTATTACCCTTTCAAGTCAAACCAGATTGGAGTGAGTGGTCAACACGCATCGTTGCATGGCCAATAGTAATTGAAGGCGAATGATCGGCATGGGTAAAAAGGTTGGAACCTCACTTTGCAGACATATGGAAAGCAACTGGAATTTTTGAATTTATTCATATGACCACAACTCAAGTGCCTGTAAACAAAGCCATTTTGACAGCAGCTATGTGTTTTTGGTCATGCTCCTATAATTGCTTTCACTTCCCTTGTGGTGCTATGTTCATCTCTCTATTTGATATATGTTCTCTAACTGGTCTTCCCTGCATCATAGAAGAGGTCTCTGCCTTGCTGCCAGCTGTTCCTGTAGAAGAATATGACCCCGGTGACACCAGAATAACTTTCTTGAGTTTCCAAAGGAACTCAATTCTCGCCACCAAGAGTAAGAATCCAGACCGAAGAGAACATATTTCCTTTTTATTATGTTTGATCTGCAAGTTTATGGTCTGCCTTACTGGGAGGTGTGTTGCCAAAGAGTTCATTCCTC